GAACTGGCTGCCGAGATAGGTCGATCTTCCACTCAGCCATCGATATATAGGTTATAGATTTGCATACAAAGTTTGACAGTTTCAAAATCAACAAACACATATTGTTTCCGGTTTGGGGTTGTTGTCTATACTAAAATAATAGCCTAGACAGCTTAAGCCCAATGACGTTTTGACGATTTTACTCAAAATTACGAATTTTTAGTTCAGTTTTCCACTTAAATTAATACATATGTATGTATGTACAAAATCGGTTAAAGGGAAACTTAATCTAAAATACCTACAATCATGAAAAAAATAGGAAGGTAGAACGGCTGAGAGTAATTTTTCATATTCTTGACATTTGCAAGCAATTTCATTTCAAAATTTTACACACACATTCCTATTTTCAATCTCAAACAACAACAACTTGAACAATTCCTTTTCTTTTGTCAGTATACTAATAAGGAGCTAACGTCGGTTGGGTTCTTTTCAGTGAAAGGTTTCGGCAACGCTGCTCTAGGCAGTTGGTAACGCAAACCATTCTTTGCGCCCTCTACTGTGAAATTTTTGAATGTAGTGAAAAGCGCGCTTTGCCGCTCGTTTCTGATTGGAAAAGTGCATAGAGAACGAAACAATGCAACAGGGTGAAACCAGTGTTTATCACCCTATACTACCGGGAATGCATTCCAGTGACGCCCAGTAGTGCATTCCAGTGGAAGTTTTGTGATCTATCCCTGTTCTGACATTCATTGTTCCTTTACTTTCCCTTTCCTTTCCCTTCCACCCTTCCTTCTTTTTCCTTTTTGCTTTTGGCTGCGTTCGCTTGGTTTATATTTTGTTCTTTGCAAATATTCTAATTAATTACAATACTGAATTAAACTAACAAAGTAAAACTTTTATTTTTCACTATAAATGAATAGGGATTTCAAAAGTGTATTATTGTGGTGAAGGTCGGTATAATGCTCGAGGTGGGGGACTTTAAAAGAATTCAAAAAATCGGCGAAGGGACTTATGGCATCGTTTACAAGGCAAAGGACACAAAAA